CAAGAAAAGAGAGAGAGAGAGAGAGAGAGAGAGAGAGAGAGAGAGAGAGAGAGAGAGAAAGAGAGAGAGGGGGGGGAGGACAGACAGGAAAGAGGAGAGGGGGTAAGGAATCTGATAGTTCTATTTTCCTAATTTCTAATGACCTGGTCCTGAAACCCACTTGCTTTCTGAACTGTTGGGAGAGATTTTTAGGAAAGGACAAAACCTAAAAGCTGATTTTCAGTCACCGTGATCCTCCAAATCACATCTCGGGCTTTTCCCAGATGGTTATTCGAAGGAGTAATACCTGAGAAATCGGTTGGTCTTTCACTTTTTGATATGACATCCAGAGTTCAGAGAGAGAAGGAGACCCTGGCTTAGCCAGGTTCCTCAGGCCTTCCTGGGTTTCTTCCCAGAGTCCCACAACTCCGAGACTGGACCTGCTGGGAGTATTTGCTCCTCCGGTGGCCCCAGCTCATTCTGTGTGAGCTGATTCTCTGGCTGCTTCCAAGCCACAGGGAGGTCCCTCCTCTCAGACTCCCACACACAAAGCCTCACACCAACCTGCCTGGCTCTCCCACGGTGCAGCTTAACACACTCATTGGCCTGCAGCCTGCCGGGGGCGGGGCTTGGGTGGTCCTCAGAAGGAATGAGCTGTGTGAGAGGAGCGCTCTGGAGGCTGATGCTCTTCTTTCTTACTCTCACCGGGTCTTCTTCAGAAGCCTCTGCTTTCAGGGTTGTCCCCGCTCCGGCTCAGCCTGGGACGGAGCCTCAGATCAGGGGACACCTGTAGCCTTGAATTTTAACCTCAGCGATGGGAAAACTTGAAAATGCTTCCTGGATCTACGATCCTCTCCTGAAGTACCTGAACAGCACAGAGGAGTACCTGGCTCACATCTGTGGACCCCGACGCAGCCACCTCTCCCTCCCGGTGTCTGTGGCCTATGCGCTGATCTTCGTGGTAGGGGTGATGGGCAATCTTCTGGTGTGCCTGGTGATCCTCCGACATCAGACCTTGAAGACAACCACCAACTACTACCTCTTCAGCCTGGCCATCTCAGACCTGCTGGTCCTGCTATTTGGGATGCCTCTGGAGGTCTATGAGATGTGGCACAATTACCCCTTCCTGTTCGGGCCGGTGGGCTGCTACTTCAAGACCGCCCTCTTCGAGACTGTGTGCTTTGCCTCCATTCTTAGCGTCACCACAGTTAGCATAGAACGCTACGTGGCCATCGTCCACCCGTTCCGAGCCAAGCTGGAGAGCACGCGGCGGCGGGCCCTTAGGATCCTCAGCCTCGTCTGGGGCTTCTCGGTGATCTTTTCTTTGCCCAACACCAGCATCCATGGCATCAAGTTCCAGTACTTTCCCAACGGGTCCTCCGTGCCCGGCTCTGCCACCTGCACAGTCATCAAGCCCATGTGGGTGTACAACTTCATCATCCAAGCCACCTCATTCCTCTTCTACGTCCTCCCGATGACCCTCATCAGCATCCTCTACTACCTCATGGGGCTCAGAGTGAGTATCCAAGGTGACTGGTTTGGGGCAGCATCCCTCCTGTTTTCACCCAATTTGAGTTCAAAGAAAGACTTAGCATGGAGGAAAAATCAGAAGGGGTCATGGAGGATGACTTTAAGTGGGGAATTAGGAAGCAAAAGTTTGTAAGTATGTAAAATAACTTCATGTGTAACCTTCACACGTGGACTCAGCATGTATTGCACAAGTAAAATTTGCCTCCATGGTCTTGAGGAGGAAACATTTTTTTCCCTTTTCTCTGGCTTCAAATTAGATGAGAGAATTTGTGTTTGAGACATGTAGGAGTGAATCTATATGCTTCCTACTGTGTTCTGTACCCATATTCCTAGATGTGAGTCCTCACAACGATAGTTTTCCACTCGTTTAAGGAAGTGGCTCGCGCAGTAAACAGTCATGGTGTTATTTAGATTCTCAGGTGCTCGGCTGATGTGTGCCTTTAGGCAGGCTGCACGTAACTCTCCTGGGATTGCTTTCCCATCTGGAGAGTGGAAAGGTCACATCCCATCATTTTCTAAGACTTCTTCTGCCTCCAACAGTCTGTGGCTCTTTTTTAAAAAGGCAAAGAGATTATGGGATAGACATGAGCTATAAATGAAAGAATTAAACACAAACACGCATCTCATCCCATCCTCTGGCACTGTAACTCCAGATGCAGGGTCCCACCCCAGCCCATCTCTGAGAATGGTGTTTATCAAGAAAGAAAGGATCTTCTTTGAATACTGACTGTCCCAAAATGAATGGCCATGCTTGAGTAAGAGGAGCTTAATTTCAGTGTTATAGGCATGTAGGCACAGGAGTGAATCTAACCAGAGAGTAGTGGTATATTCCCCCAAGATCTATGTCACGCTCGACCAGCTCAGGCCACAGTTCCCGAATGTCCTGTGTATCTAACCCAGAGGAAAAGACTTTCATACATTTCTAAATATCACAATTCCCTAAAACCTTCTCTCCTTTTGTAACAATAGCATCTTGTTCAGTGCGAAATAATCATTTGTCTCGTGTGAGTTTGGGGGACATGCCTAAGTTGAACAGCAAACACAGATTTTTGCCCGAGTTTCATTGTGTTCCAGTCTCGTGAATCCACAGTGTCTGTGTCCCAAACCGGGGCAGCTCAGAGAATAGCCACCCTGCTTTGTGTGAGTAATGCAATTGCTGACATCCTGTGCCAGAAAAGATGAGGTACGAGTGAGTGGACCAGAGGGTGCCAAGAAAGGACAATGTCTGATTTGTCGTTCCGAGAATTTAAACAGACCTATGTCAGCGGCCGGCAGAAGCAAGCTCTGTTATGCTGTGGGACAGTGGTCTGTACCCTGTCAGAAACCTTGGCTAACACTGGTCAGGTGTCACAACCTTTGGAACCCTTTTGTTGGAAGGTTCCTGCCACCCACCGCCACACTTCCTTGGCCTTTTTGACTCTTGTCCACCCTTTCAGCCATGCTTCAAGTGCCATGCGTCAAATGCACTTCCTTAGGGGAGCTCTCCTAGACCCCTGAACTGTCCTACCTCTGTTGTAGATGTCATTACTTCTAGTAACTCCCTTCATTACTATTTACAATCCCATGTGGACCCTTTAAGTGTACTCATTTCTCCCAACCCAGACTAAGTTCACTCAGGAGACGAGGCTGAATTACTTCCCTCATAACTGAGCTTTATCTTATCTATATTTAAGGCAAAAGACTTGAAAACGTTGCCTCAAAGAACCTTTGAATCTTCAAGATTTAAAGACATCCATGTTGTAATGCTATTTGAGTTATTGAGTCTACTGAGAAGTCTAAAGGTGTGACTGAGTCTGGTTGCCACTGTCTTCAGGAGGCAGCCAAGACAATACCGATGAAAGCACAGGACAAATGAAGCCCTGTGTGTGTTCAAGGCTAAGGCTGAGCATTCACTGATGCTGCCTCATTCCAGTACATTAATATCCACAGAGATGTTCTTTAGGCTCAGAACATCATAGAGACAGAAAGTATGTGATTCATGAGTAGCTTCCCAGTCATCTAGGAGGAAGTAGTGGCAACGTCTAGCCTAATTCCTGTCTCTCTCACACATGACTTTTGTGTTGATGAGAGGACATGTGTGAATTACATAAACGTCAACTATGCCTGATAGACTGCAAAGAAGCAAGATAGTGATGGATGGATTGATGGATGGATGGATGGATGGATGGATGGATGGGCAGACAAATGAGCTGATAGAGAAGTTGAAAGACAGACAACTAAGTATAGATCAGGACATTGTGTATCTATACCTATACTCACATATACACACATATATACTCAAGTGCACAAACACATACACCACACACATACACCACACACACACACCACACACACATACTACAATCACCACGAACAGCTCATCAAGATAATAACCTGAAAGACAATCAGCCCCATGAATCTCACCTCGGTGCTTCATAGCTGGAGGTGTCAGATGGGTAAGTTTCTAAAGTTCTGAGCCTTGGATCATCCCATAGAGTGACGACAGTGTCTCATCCCTCACTGAGTCTGATGGCAGAGTTCACACCATTGATGACTGAGTATCATGCCGAGCACCTGGAGTGAAATGGAAGTATTTAATATGAAGGCATCATTTAACGTTAGCTGGACAAATGTCTTAGACTCTGTGTGTCAGACATTGTGAACCCTGACGGACACTTCACTATGCATATATTCAGTCTGTCTCTTCCTTAAGCTGACCGGTTGTGACATTATAACCTGAAGATGCTTCAAGGTGAGAGGTAATTGAGAAGTGGTTTTCTTGGGGTACAAACTACAATGGCCAGGAGGCTAGTCATAAAAAGAATTATCTGGAATGATTGCTTGTGTTTGATTTAAAGAAACGTTTTGCAGGAATACAGACTTCCTCTGAGAGCTATGAACTTTAGCCATGAAGTGACCAACCTTTCAGTATACTATTTGTTGAAAATAATTATGGAACAACCAACAACTCTCTCTTACATTGGCCACAATTTTAGGACCAGAATTAAAATAGTTTTTATTATTATTTCCCATTTATTGAAAAATAGGTTCTTTTCTCATACAATATATCTTGATTACAATTTCCCCTCCCTTTACTCCTCCCAGCTCCTCTCCACCTCCCCTCCCATCCCAATCCACTCCCTTTCTGTCTCTCATTAGAAAAGAACAGACTTATAAAAGATAATAACAAAACAAGAAAAAGTATAATAAGATAAGCAAAAACCACCACATTGAAGTTGGACAAGGCAAACCAACAGAAGGAAGAAAGCCCAAGAGAAGGCACAAAAGTCAGAGACCAATTGTTCACATACTTGGGAGTCCCATATAAAACTAAAATGAAAGCTACACACACACACACACACACACACACACACACACACACAGGACCTGGTACAACCCCAGGTAGACCCTATGCTTGTTGCTTCAGGCTCTGAGTTCACATGATCTTTGCTCAGCTGATTCAGAGGGCCTTATTCTCCTGGTGTCTTCCATCCCTCATTTTTGGCCCCTCTTCCACAGTGTTTGCTGAGTGTTGAGGGGAAAGATTTGATAGTGACATCCCATTTAGAGCTGCATGTTCCAAGGTCTCTCCCTTTCTCGCTGCATAATGTCTGGTTGTGGGTCTCTGTATTTATTCCCCCTTCCTAGGTGACTCCAGGTTTTTGCCAGGTTGATGGCTGAGGTGAAGGCTAACATCTGTCAGACACAACACAACTGAGTTAGAAGATGGACATTTTTCCTAGAAGAGACTCAGTAATCCCCATAAGGAGATTCATAAAGGCAAATAGCTGTTCTTGGGTATTTCAATCCATATCGTGTCTTTTGAGATGTGGAGCAATAATGAGAACCAGCAGAAGAGCAATAGTTTACCACTCACTGAGCACCTCATGCCTTGCTCTGGCATTCTTATCATACTAGGAACAATTTAGCCTCTTCATGCAATCCCCATTGATTTCTACACCAGTGCAGGATTCCCTCAGCTCTTCTCAGGTTCCAGGTGACCCTAAAAGGTCAAATCTCAAACGACTTTTAACACCTCACTTTCTAAAAATATAGATTTTATGTAGAGAGCACTGTTAAGTCCAAAAGACAGGCAGACTAAGTTACCACACAGGTAGGTGCTTAGGACCCATGTGTTTCTGAGGACCGCTTAATTTTAAGGAGCATGCATTACTGTAGAGTCATAGGATATGGATTTGGGGAGCTATCAAGGTGAACTTTTAATGGGCCATTCTTCCAAGTTGTCCTTGAGAAGACTTTCTCATGATAACTTGCATCCCAGAAAGCTCACAGTTCATCGTCACACACAATTCCACTCATTTTTTCGTTTACCTTGCACTTAAAAATGTCTCCATACAACTCAGTGGGTTGAGTCTAATGGAGCCTGAGAATGTGTAGAACAATTCAATTTTCCTTCCACTGGATGATCTCAGTTGATCCATCAGGACCCATGTCACCACCAGAGAAGGAATCTCAGCTTGACTGTTGGCACATGAAGGGAGGCTTAGCTTAGACCTTAATTCCACAAAACAGACATAGCTCTCAGTGAAAGTTTGTTCAGGAAAATACATGAGGCTGTCACATACACAGCCTCCTTTCTGGTTTCTAGGGACCTTAAAGCCTGCACACAGAAGCACTGTGAGTACTTTTCTCATGGTGCCACACAAGAGACCACTGTAATTCCTACCTCAGAAGCAGTGAAGAAGGGGTTCCTTCCATTCCCAGGAGGACAGAAGCAAATATGCGGAACCCAACTCCAGTTATCCAACTATTGGGACTAGGGAATGGGACAGTCTGATCTGTTAGGTTACTTGGTGACAGGACCAGGAACTGGAGTTGGGACTAACTCAGCTTAATCTTCCCTGTCATCTTGATTGGATTTGAAATCACCTAGGAGACACACCTCTGGGCATTTTTCTGAGGACATTTCCAGAGAGGTGTAACTAAGGGAGGAATACCCACCCTGAATGATGGTAGCAGCAGCTCATATGCTGGGGTCCCAGACTGAATGCAAAGGGGATGTAAGAGAAAGGGAATCCAGCACAGTATTGGTCTCCCTGTTTCCTGACTGGGATGCAATGTGACCATCTGCTTCATGACCCTGCCTCTCTGACCTCTTCTCCCTCTCCCTAAAGGACTCCCCTCAAACTGTGTGTCAAACTAACAACTAACCCTTTTTCCCATAAGCTGCTTTTTGGGTTGCTTTTTTTTTTTTTTTTTTGGTTAGGTATTTTGTTATAGCAATGGGAAAAGTGACTAAAACGCCAACCAAAGTACTAAGTGAGCATGGAGAAGGAATAAACAGCCTAAGAGAGACGTGGGGTGCTGCTGGTGAGAGAATAAGAGGGGAATGCCAGAGAATTAACAGACTCTGGACTTCTAAGTGTGGACTGGTCTCAGGTCATCAGAGTTTCTGTCTTCTGGCACAACATCCCCACAGACAGAAAGCAGATCTAACAGAGAAAGATTCCACCACCAGATGGATAGCACAGCTCTCTGGTGTTTGTGGACCTCAGAGAAATAAGAGAACAATCGGCTAGAGCTTCAGGAATAGGTGTGCCTGAAATAGGCTAGTAAAGATGGCCTGTCAGGTCATGCTGACATTCCAAACTTACATTAGTACAAGGATCACACTATAATCCAATTAGGATAAATATATGTCAGTGTTTAAAATTCTGAAGGATATGCAGTTTTATCAGTAGAATTGGACAATCAGCATGTCCTAAATTATGCCTGTCAGGACAGTGTCAGGGAATCTGCTGAAAAGGGCTGGGAATGTATTATTCAAAGAAATGTGGCTCCCTTTCAACTGAGGGGCACTTGTGGGATACCAATGTGGACAGTGGGGAAAGGGATGCATCAACCCCTGGAAGATCTACATGGCTCGTGAGCACGTTCAAGATGCTGAGAGCCGCACAACATAGTGGTTTGAATGAGAATGTCCCCCATATGCCTATCTATTTGCATGCCTCGTCCCCAGTTAATGAACTGTTTGGAAGGACTGGGAGGTGTGACCTTTGAGGTTTCAAATGCCCACCCCAGGCCCAGTGTCTCTCTTTCTCTTTGCCTACTGTCTTTGGATCAGGACGCAAAGCTCTCAGCTACTACTCCAGCACTCTGCCTTCCTGCCTGCCGCTATATTTCCCACCATGATGATCGTGGACTGAAACTGTAAACAAGCCCCAAATCAAATGCTTGCTTTTATAAGTCTTTAATTATAAGCATTGCCTTAGTCATGGTGTTTCTTCACAGCAATAGAGCAACAGATAGCATAGCAGTCACGAGATCATAGTATTTTGTTCTCTGAAATCTATCACGTGGAATAGAGTCTTGACTCTAATGATGTGTCTAACAGAAATGAAAGAAATTCAGTGACAGGAAGGGCCTAGCTAGTGTTTTATTGCTATTGTCCACTTCAGGATTAACCATCTTGGCCGTGTGTGTGTGTGTGTTTATACAATATTTATTAACACACTACAGAACTAGGACTGCATACAACTGCTTATTAAAAACTTGGTTTTTCTGTATCTTGTCCATAGCCCTGTCCAGTTGAGTCAGAGGACCTAGACTGAATGCTGCCCCCAGTGAAGTATTTAAGTTTTTTGAGACAGGATTTCTCTGTGGCTTTGGAGCCTGTCCTGGCACTAGCTCTGTAGACCAGGCTGGTCTCGAACTCACAGAGATCCGCCTGCCTCTGCCTCCCGAGTGCTGGGATTAAAGGCGTGCGCCACCATCGCCCGGCCCAGTGAAGTATTTAAAAGTTTAAAAACATTTCTTTAAGTGCTTTTGGTATACCTCCAAAGTTTTCTCTCCCTAACTGCCTCTCTACTTCTCTTTCAGCTGAAGAGAGATGAATCCCTTGAGGCAGACAAACTGACTGTGAGCATTCACAGACCCTCCAGAAAATCAGTCACCAAGATGCTGTGTAAGCGGCTCGCTTTCTTTCAGTGTTTGTTTACTTTTTGTTTATAAGAGCAAAAGACTTGTGTTTGGCACTGATGTGCTGGCCAAGATGCTCTTCTTGGTTTTCAGAAGGTTCTTTGACTTGCTTGCTTTGTTTCATCTTTGGCTTTAAGCGTTCAAAACCCTGTGCTAGGTTATAGCTGCCAAGATGCCTTCCAAGTGCTATGAAATAAGTCACGCTTGCACGCCGAGCCTGAGCACTGCTCTCTGTCAGATGAGTGGGGGTGGGTTCTGAACCTGGTTGTGTTCCAGCATTCTTCAGACATGTGGTACAGGTCATGGTGGATCCTGCATGCACTCGCAAATGTTTACAAACACAGTGTTTTATAACTCGCTTCAGGGGATTGTGACCTCCCAATGGCCATGTAGACTCCATGAATTTTTTTAATTCCAGATAAAGAACAACTAGCCATGAATTCTTCCGAGTAAATTATTCCACCTAGGACATTGTGTAGCCTTGCATCAAAACATCATCCTGTTTAAAAACAAAACAGTAAAAATAGTCTTTTTATTGGAAAATACACATTCTTGTAAGAGACAAAATATTTTAAGAAATCCAAATACTTAACAGCCTCTCCCAAAGGGATGCTAGACAAGTCAGTGAACCCATGGGCTGGAGAGATAGATCAGAAGTTAAACCCTTGCCATGTAAGCATGAACACTGGGGAGTCCGATCCCCAGAGCCCACATAAGTGCTGCTGGGAGTGACTAACCCTCTTATAATTCCATTCTTAAGACAGCAGAGGCGGGGGTCCGTAGCAAGTTGGCTATGGAGACTGACAGTATCAGTGCACTCAGGGTTTCACTGTGAGATCCTGCTTCAGTGAATAAGGTAGTGAGTGATTGAGGAAGATTCCTCACTCAGCCTTGGGTCTACACACACACACACACTCAAACATGAGTGAACACACATGCACATACCTATACATGCACATATGTGTATATATACACACACACACAAGTGGAAAAATGAAAATAAAAAACACTAATCAAAGCAACCTCAGTCTTCCAGGAGAGACACTGAGGAGGCATATGGAACATAAACTTTTTAAATTACCATCTAAATTCAGAAAGAAAAGAATCCCCGGGCTAATGTGCACACAGAGCATGGAGGCTGTGCCCTCTGTGAACAAAACCTGGAAGTTGCTGGCCTCCTGAAGAGTTGACACTTAAAGTTGCGCTCTCTCTCTCTCTCTCTCTCTCTCTCTCTCTCTCTCTCTCTCTCTCGTGCACGCGCGCGCACACACACACAAGAACACACGAGACATACACAATAAAGGAAAGATTTATCTTGGGACAAGTACTTTGGGCCTATTATGAGGCAGAATATCATTGCTATAGGAGAGGAAAGGAAGGAGGAAGGGAGGGAGGGAGCTTACTCGGGAGTGGATAGCTGCCATCCTGTCCTTTTGGAGCTTCCAGTCACTTGCCCCTTCAGCTTTGGGTCTGTGATGAGGTGGAGCAAAGCTGCTCACCTCACAGTGTGCAAACAGAAAGGAAAGGAGTAGCCCCCAGTCTCCCTTCAAGGCCCAGCAAATGCCTGCCTCCTCCATCTAAAGTCCTCAAGTTTCCACCCACCCAGCCCAGACAGCACCATCCACTGGGGACCATGCCTTGGAGGCATGAGGTTCTGGGCAGCTGTTAGAATCCAAACCCTAAGAACTCGCTGAAAAACTGTGAATTTAATTGTTGAGTTGTTCCTAAGACAACCTGATCTAATCATGAATAAGTCTCTAAACGTATGCTGAGAGCATGCTTTGATTTCCACAGTCAAGAGGTTTGGGAACTTTGAAATATACTCAGTTCTATTTGAAATATTCTAAGGAGAAATCCTAAGGAGATGTCTCGGTGATTAAGAGCCTTTGATATTCTTGAGAGGATTCATGTTTGGTTCTCAGCACCTACACTAGGCAGCTCACAACCTCCTATAAGGCCCTCTTCTGTCCTCCACAGGCTCTGCAGACATGAGGTACACAAAGAGATAAGCAAGACAACACACCTATGCATAAGTAAAAATAAATATTTTTTAAGAAAAAAATCAATCAATCAATCAATCAATCCTGGGGCCAGTGAGATGGCTCAGAGGGCAAAGGCACTTGCTGTTAAACCTGAGATTGATCTCCAGGACCCAGGAGAAAGAGCTGATTTCAAGAAGTTGCCCTCTAACTTGCACATGTGTGTTGTGGCATGCATACACATGTGGTGTGCACACAACACACAAACAGCAATAGCTGGACTTAGTGGGTTCTCAACAAACCCATCAAGTTGAAATGGGGACATACTGAAACTCATGGAATGGAAGGAGTTGGAGTAGAAAAATTAGGGGTAATGATGCGATATTTTATTATGGCCATTTCTGGAAATTTCAAAAACAAACAAAAAAATTCATGTAAAAAAATAAACTTTAAAAGAACATGTAGGCAATTGTATAGAAAACTGATCCCAGAGCCATATGATTAATTCTTATGTTTGACTATTCTTTCTCTCTGGGAGCTCGTCTGCCTGTAGCAGTCAGCACTCAGCTAAGGTGGCAGGGAACCCTGATAAAGGAAGGAAGCTGCTGGGGACGAGCATCACATCCCTCCCTGGCCTACTCCATCTTCTTGTCTCCCACTTCCTTTTCCAGTTGTCTTGGTCCTCGTGTTTGCTATCTGCTGGACCCCTTTCCATGTGGACCGGCTCTTCTTCAGCTTTGTGGAGGAGTGGACTGAGTCCCTGGCTGCTGTGTTCAATCTCATCCACGTGGTATCAGGTAAAGGCTTGGTGGGCTCAGGGACATAAGGGTTCCATAGCTTTTCCTTCGCTCTGTCGCCATACAAGCAGCTCACGGAGACCCAGACTTCTGTTATGGGAACAGCAGGAGCTGATTGTATTCAGGGATTAAAAATGTTTTGAGGAAAAACCCCAACTCTACATGTGAATGTGATAACTATCATCAATATGATAGCAAAAAACACATGAAAAGAAATGCTTTTCCCAAAGGTGCAAAGCTGTAAGATGAGTGAAAACGGGGCTCAAGTCCAAGCCATTGAATGTCAAGTTCAAGGTTTTTTCCAACCTACTACACTTAGGTTCAGTGTACTTCTGCCCGCCTGCTTCTGTTGTCACTGGCTCATTCTGTGGACTGTCAAGGACATAGCCAGAGGGTAAAGGTTAGATGCATACACACAACAGCTCAGGCTAGAAGGAAGGATGGAGGGAAGAAGAGAAGGAGGGGAGAGAAAGACCATACTGGATAAAGCCACCATTTCTGCCTCTGAACATTTTTACCCAGATACACATTCTCTCCCTTCATCAACTATCCATGTCAAGGTACAACTGGTGTCAATCACCTCCACTGAGTGACTCATGGCCATAGTCGTCTGTTAGAATAGAATAACTGCTGTAGCCTGACTGGTGATGTCATACATGCTCCTAGGAGATGGCATTGTGTATTCCTGTTACTAGCTTTGCCTGGGGTTCCTGACTCTGCTACATTCTTCCAAATACTTGGAGGGAAAAAAAAGTCTAAATCCCCTGCCTTTCAATGTGCTTTGACGTTCCTAGAATGCCCTAGTAAGCATTTGATCCATGTCCAAATGAACAGGTATGTCTCCTGTTCTAGAGAGGACACCAACCATAGACATAAAGAAGGGGTTCCATCCAAGTTCAGTTTGTTAAAGCAATGAGTCACTGGGGTTACTAACAGGAATGAGAGCAATTTATGGGCAGCTATATCCTTGAAAAATATATCTCTCAGCAACGGATAACTGTCTATAAACCCTTGGAAGGGGCACAGCCTCGTAAGCCTCTCCCCAAACAACTGTTAACTGTCTAAATCTTTGAGGAAAGGCAGGCAAGCCCTTCCCCTGTAATGGGAAGTTAATGGGGACACTCTTGGGTAGTCTCCAATGGGTAATGGCAGTTGACAGTTAAAGAGGGTGATGGCCATGACTGTGTCTTGCTTGGACGATGCTGTTTGACAATACACAGCTTCCACCAGAATATCCTGCCCCTATTTTCCAGAAAGAATTAACGTGCCAGTGTTTGTCTAAGGGCACAGAACAAAGGAGGGCCACGGTGCTAACCTCCCTTAAGCTCCATTGGTGTCTTAGAGAAACAGACCAGGCTATGATAATAAGAGTGGGCATATGGGAGACGGAGAGATGGCTCTGTGGCTAAGAGCCCATGCCGCTCTTACAGAGAACCCTACCTTGGTTGCCAACCCCCATATGGGTTTCTTACATGCCTGTAACTCCAGTGCCAGTGGGTCAGACACCTTCTTTTGGCCTCTGTGGGTACTGCTACTCATATGCGCGCGTGCGCACACACATACACAGAAAAGTAAATCTCTAAAGAGAAGAATGCGTGTATAACAAGCAGAGAAATGGCAATATACAAGCCTCCTGGTGGACAAAATAAGTGGCAATATATAATTACTCAGTGGAAGAGCTAATAAGGGAAGCAGGAGTGGGTAGGGAAGGGACATGGTGGGGGAGGGGTGATCTCACTATGAGAGGTTTTCCATTGAATGAGGAATCTCAACAGGGACCACGAGCTGACTGATTTACCCAGCTTCACCACTGTGGCCTCAAATAATAGCTTTAACTGAGAATCCAATGAAGAAACAAACGTCCTTTCTCTGATACTTGAGCATCTCTTATTAGGGGCACTATCCAGCTCCTTGGGAACGCCATGGCTCTTTCATGGCTCTGTGTTCGATTCCCGAGTGCCCAGATGGATCTTCTCTTAGCATTTTATATTCTCAGTGAGTATCCTGTATACCCTGCTGCTTCCAGGACAGGCAATCCCAGGGTTCCCAGGCCTTTGCTAAATATGTACGCTCTGTCCTCCCTTGCTGTCATGTCTTCTTCAATCTGTCATTTGCAGGTGTCTTCTTCTACCTCAGCTCAGCTGTCAACCCCATTATCTATAACCTCTTGTCAAGACGCTTCCGGGCGGCCTTCCGGAATGTCATCTCTTCTTCCTGCAAGTGGTGCCGTTCCCAGGATCTCCCACCAGGACCTCGGGCCCAGAAGATCATCTTCTTGACAGAATGCCACCTTGCGGAGTTGACAGAGGAGACAGGCCCCCAGTTCCCCTGTCAGTCATCCATTTACAACTCACACCTCTCCACAGCCCCTGTGCTGGACAGGTACCATGAAGGGAGTGGTCAGAAGACCACGTCAGAAGGCCTGGATTCTGTGGATTGACACCCCTCTAAGCCCCAGCAAGCAAGGAGGGGCATCCTGTCACCTGTGCCTGCTGTGTGGCATTAGGAAGACAAGACTCTTAGGTCCCACATACTCGTGACTTTTTTGACGTAAAAGTCAGGACTTCGTTCTAGGTCACCATGTAGACACTGCTGATTTAGACACTCCATCTTTCCGTACTGCGAGTTTTCAAAACTGTGATTGCGATGCATCACATGTGAGTCTTACTTAAAGACGCTTTCATAATGTTGAGTTTAACAGAGCGAAGCAAGGCAGAGGAGCTAAGCTGCACAGCCCAGTTAGCCCAACCTCCAAAGCCCAGGACTCATAAGGAGCTACTGGGGTGAGCCAGTGACTGGCTCAGAACTGCTCACGAAAACTTCCCCCTCCAATAGTTAGGACTTTTGCAAGCTTGTTGTCGAATGAGCGATGGCTTGAAATCAGTCATAGGAGAAATATTTAGGCTACGGGAATTAACAAGCTCTCCAAATCAAGGCTAAATCATTTTTGTCCCCTGGAGAGCTGGCCCGAGAGCAGGTTGAGAGCTATTAATAAGCTGGCACTTTGCCAGCTTGCTGCAATGCGTGTGACTTGTTTTTAGACCAAAAGCTGGTAATGCTGTAATTAAGGACTACTTAGAGTCCTGGTTAACTCGGTTAACTAGATTTCTTTTTTAAACCTGGAGTTCCCAGGAAAAAAAATAATAAGCAAAAGCCTGTTAATTAAACCAATGGAAGCAGCATCCAGCATTTTATAATTAACCTCGAGTCGAAAGACTATTTTTGGATGCCATTCATTAACATTAGCGCAGAAAACAGCAGTGGACCGAGCGTTGTTTTTCCTCTTACATCTATGTTTACAGAATCCACAGGACGTGTTGTCAAAGCAGGCGAGATCCCCACATTCTCTACTTGGCTTGGCTGCAGACTTATTCCCTCCTTAACATGGAGAGACATGGTTAGTGGGTAAAGGCTCTCACCACCAAGTCTTAGGACCTAAGTTCGATACCTGGAATTCACATGGTTAAGGGAGAAACGTGACTCCTCAACCCATCTTCTGACATCGAAACATGTACCATGACGTATTCTCCCCACAGGCCCCTACACACATCACACTAAATAAAGTCATATAAAATTTTTTAAAGAGTATGATATAAATCCATAGTGTGGAAGCTAACAACTATACCATCTTCTAGAAGTCAAGCAAATCAAAATCATAGCCAAGGCAGCCTTTAATCCCCTCCTTTCCCTTCTCAACCTCAGTAGATGACTGAACGCCTTGTGGATTCCACTCCTGACCCCCACCTGTGGAACACTTTGGAAGCTTTTCAAGACAAGGTCAATATTTAGAAGTTTTGACTGATTTATGAATGGGATAGAGATTGTAGACTATACCTACAATATACTGGTTTTGCTGTTAGGAAAATACATTCACTATGCAAAACAGACTATTAGCTTAGAGAGAGTGATGGAGAAGTCTGGCAAAGAAAGCCAAAGCCAAGGACTACAGGACAGAGGGAAGCGGGACAGGAGAGATGGCTCAGTGGACAAAGACGTTTGCGGGCAAACCTGATGATCTGAGTTCCAGTGGTTGACAAAGAGACCCAACACCAGAAGTATTCTCTGACCCGGCTCGCTCACCATGACTTGTGTAGCAGCACCCATTCAACATAATAATAATAAAATTATTTTTTAAATGGAATTTACCCTATCAAACACTCGCAATGTCTGTATACCATGAAACCACATGGAGGCATAGAAAAGGATGTTTGTGAGTAACCATTATTTTGAAAATACAGCTTAAAAGGTTTGATAGAACACACTTATTTAAATATTTTCAGAACAGAAAGACTATCTTCTATTGACATTTTATGTTTTGTTTTATAAATGTTGAAAATGTTAGACCCTGGCTTTGATGATCAATTCTTCAAGAACAAAATGGAATAAACACTATCCTGTGGACATTCGTGTGTCCTCTTCACTCCCTGATTCCCCCATCTTACACACACACAAACACACACACACACACACACACACACACACACACACCAGCCCTGTCCAGTTGACAGCAAAGAGTACATTCGTAATCACCCCTGGGAAAATTATACAAGCAATCTCAATGTCTCTGAGGCTACAACAGCCCTCATGTCTCATTCTAAAGCCTGCAGCAGACTGGGGTGGCTCCCAGGCTGGGATCCTCTGAGCTTTGAGGCTTTCCATCTGACTTTGCCACCTGCCGCCCCCGCCCCCCTTTTTTTTACAGTGCTTACAAAGATTGGTGAGTCCCTACTGAGAGCCTGTCGCCAAGTGCCCAGATTCCAGAAGGGTGGGTGCCATTCCTCCCCAAGGAAGTCTCTAGGCTGGTGGTTCTCAGCCCATAGGTCACAACCCTTTCACAGGGGCTACCTAAGACCATTGGAAAACATAGCTATTTTCATTATGATTTATAATAATAAAATTACAATTATGAAGTGGCAATGAAATTAATTTTATGGTTGGGGGTGAGCACAACATGAGGAACTGTATTATAGGGCCGCATGGTTTGCCAGACAGACTCCTGGCATCCTACCTATGTACCTCAACTAGAGTACACCTTCTCTGTTTCCCAGTGACCTCCTCACTCCCCCCCTACTCCTCACTCCCCAACTTCCCCCCCCTCCCCACCCTCCCCTTCCCCCCCATCCCCCCCCCCCCCCCCCCCCTACCTATGTACCTCAACTAGAGTACACCTTCTCTGTTTCCCAGTGACCTCCTCACTCCCCCCCTACTCCTCACTCCCCAACTTCCCCTCACTCCCCACCCTCCCCTTCACTCCCATCTCCCCTTCACTCCCACCTCCCCTTCACTCCCATCTCCCCCTCCCTCCCAT